TGTGTGTGTGTGTGTGTGTGTGTGTGTGTGTGTGTGTGTGTTTTCTTACCCTCAATCTCCGCATGGGTTGATTGGCAGTACCAGGAAATGGACAATCTGAAGGATGGAATGATATATGATGAATTGACAAGTGGTTGGGTGAAATCAGTCTTATGGCTCTGAAATTCTGATTTATTATTTATGTGGATTTGTGGGTTTTATATGATTCGCATTTCAGATTGACAATGGAAGAAAAGCTTCTTCATGGGCTTCTGGAGATCACGATCTATGAGGCACAGGGGTTGGAGGATGCAGATCGTGATGGCTTCGTGGGTGGGGTAAGTCATTTAGACCCCTCATTTCCCCAATGCCGGATTTCACCCACCAATGGACGATCGAAGTGTGCTGGGGGTCGGACCTGGCAGTGGTGGCCATATGCACTGCATTTGCACCAGAATATTTTTAACGGCAAATTTGTTTTTGCAAGGAAAATAAGTAACAGCGAGATGACAATTCCAGATCACACCATCACATTGAAAGCCAAATAGTCACACCGTGTCCAGAGAGCAGCATAGCACCAATAATACACCAATGGAGGTTCGTAGCACTGAAAACCGATGTTCATGGAGAGCATACTCTCTCCTTCCAACACAAGAGTCCAGTTCCTTCACACTCACACTTGGCGCTCAGCGCCCAGCTTACTCCTACACAGCTACTACAGACTACAAAAAGACAATGCAACTGTTGACATCAGCGGCAGCCCGAAGTACTTGAAGATGTCGCCCATGCAGACCATCGCCAATACAAGGTATGTGCCCTCACATCATCATCATCATCATCATCCTTCACCTATCCCCTGACTACACCCACGTCTGTCCTCTGTTTCACCCGACGACCACCCCTGCGCTTCACTGTAGTCCAAGCCCACCAGCTATGGTGGCTGGGCTATGGCGCTGCCCTCAGCAGCGCCCTCCTCCTCTGCCCGACCGCACGTGCTGCACCTCGCCCCTCAGCGCTAGCAGCAGCCTACGAGCATGAGCTCCAGCAGCGCTGCCGCCAGCATGCGAGTGCCTGAATGTGGCAGCCAGGGCCGAGCTCTTTCCTTTATGGAAAGAGTTGGCCTGCTCACGCAGCCTGGCTGCCCTGGCCTGGGCCCAGAAGCTTCCGGAAGGCCCCAGGAGGCTGCCTGGATGCAGCAGCTACTGGGCTGCTGGGCCTCGTTCGGTTGGGCGCCCAACTGTCTCTGTATGAGGCTGCGAATCACGCCCAGGGCCTGCATTCTTTGGAAAGGCCCGGTAGGCCGTGGAAATGTCTTTGTTGCTCGGCCTGTGTTTCTTTCAACCAACTGGCTCGTCGCAACTGCCTGGACCCCAAATATGAAATTGACAGTCGAGGGCCTCTTGCAAAAAGCCAGGCCGGCCTTCACTTAGGGCGGGTAAGGCTGCAAACAGGGCCCCATAGGCCTACCGAAGGTGTTGACTAGGGATCGAGCCCTGGGATCTGCATCGGCTACTGCAATCAGGTGAATACCGTTTCAGAAGAGCTCCCTGAGTCGCCTTACATCCGACTGTTTCTCCTAGCAAACAAACCCCGGAGGGAAACAAGCGATCGCATGCTGGCTATTTAGAGGAGACTCCTTGGCTTAAGATAAGTCTGCAATCACTGTCCCGAGGAATCACTGGAAACGTGTGCGGTCTTGTTGCTCTGTCACGCTGTTCCCGCCCTATGGATGTGACCCAATGATTTGCCAACACAGTACAGTTGGAGCTCATATAGTGTGTTGTACATACTATCGAGTGCTTTCGCACACACTACACACACACACACACGCACACACACACGCGCAATCAGTTTTATGTCTGTCGGTCGTTCTTCTGTTGTCTGTCCTCCCCCTGATTTTTTCTGAGTACTTATTTTGTGTGCCCAACTGAGCACCCTTAAGTAGTGCCAAACAGTCGGTTGTTCCTCGTTTGGAGTCCCTACTGCACTCTTATGGGGGCTGCTCGGTTTGGGTTGTCTGTGTGGCCTATCGGTGATGACAGATGTTCGTGGAGTGACTCCCTGGCTCAGTGGGTAGTGGGAACCAACAGTCTGTGGGATTCAATCGTGATGTGAGTAGGTCATGTGCTGCTTTGCTCCGTGTTGGATGTGTGGACTGCTCGTCTGCACTCTGCGGGTGCCTTGCTGCCTGTCCCGCTGGCGTCGCATGTGGTTCTCTGCATATTGCTGTGTTCGCTGTGCGGTGTGGCCGTGTTGTTGGTGTTGCCTTGCGCTTCGCTGCTCCACCGTCGTGCTGCTCATCCGCTGGCCGTGCCTTCCGTGTTTGCCGCTGGTGTGCCCTGTAGGTTGGTTGCCTTGTTGCTGGTGCCTTGTTGCTAGTGCCTTGCTCTGCACTGTTTGTTTGCCCGCCCGCCTCCCTCTTTCCCCCCCAGCCTGTGTGACATGATGGCGTTATTTGCCTTGCTGTTCGTTGTATGCGCTGTTGCTGGCTGTTGCTGGCTGTCAGTTGCTTTGTCCTATTGGACTGCTGTTTTTGGCTCATGGCTTAGTGCCCTCGGGCTCTAGTCCTTGTGTCTTAGTAGGGTTGGTGAATGATAGAGGCTGTTGCATGCCATGATCACGGTACAAGGGGAAATAAGGACCCAGTGGTGTTCAGATGCTCGAATGGTCCCGGTGTGGGTGATGCAAAGGCTTGTTGTATGGGTCTTTCTAAAATGGTGTGAAAAGCTCCACATACCCTGAACGCAACTCACCACGATTCGCGTCGTGATAGTGTTATGGTTAGTTAAACACACACACACGTGACTCCCCAGGCCCTTTGAAACCCCGCCGGCGACCGGTATCGGCCCGGGCGAAACCTGTTCGCGGGCCTCGAAAACACGTTCTCGCGAATGTGTTCTGGACCTGTTCGTGCGAACGGGCGAATGTGTTTGCCCGAACGGGAAGGCCCACGAACACATTCGCCGTGCTACGCAGATTTTCACTCTTGTCAGACTCAAAACTGAAAAATTTTATGGATGCAGGGTGCATGCTTCTTCTTCATAAGCTGAAAAAAAAAACCATTGAAACACAAAAAACAAAATGCGAGGATCTGTGTACAGTATTTGTGTTGAACCC